TAGGCCACGCCAGACGAAGGGCCCCCTCCAGGGCCGCCCCGAAGTCGAAAGCGAGCGCCGGCAATGCCTGCGGCGCCGCGCCGAGGCCTCATCGAGCCCGCCCCGGGCGCAATTCTCGCGCACCTGCGCTGAACCGACATGGCCGCCGCGAGAGCCGAGCCAATCTTGAGTGGCTCCCGCAAGTCCCCAAGCGTTGGCATTAACAGTTTACACATGAAGCCCATGGCTTTCAACGCTGGGGGCGGCGACGGGGCCGCTCAGATGGCTCGGGGCGCGAATCCAAAAATTATCCCAGTGCGACCCTACCTAGGAGTTGGAACCCCTAGGAAAGCAGCGTTAGTAGTAACAGTAACGTTAAGCTAAAGCTAAGCTAAAGCTAAAGCTAAGCTGGAGCTAAGCTAAAACTAAGCTAAAGCTAAGCTAAAGCTAAGCTAAAGCTAAGTTAAAGCTAAGCTAAAGCTAAGCTAAAGCTAAGCCGCAGCTAAGCTAAAGTTAAGCTAAATCTAAGCTAAAGCTAAGCTAAAGCTAAGCTAAAGCTAAGCTAAAGCTAAGCTGAAGGTAAGGTACAGCTAAGCTAAAGCTAAAGCTGAGCAGCAGCTAAGCTAAAGTTAAGCGGTAAGCTACAGCTAAGCTAAAGCTAAGCTCCAGCTAAGCTAAAGCTAAGCTAAAGCTAAGCTAAAGCTAAGCTAAAGCTAAGCGAAAAGCTAAGCGAAAGCTAAGCTAAAGCTAAGCTAAAAGCTAAGCGAAACGCTAAGCTAAAGCTAAGCTACAGCTAAGCTAAAGCTAAGCTAAAGCTAAGCTAAAGCTAAAGCTAAAGCTAAAGCTAAAGCTAAAGCTAAAGCTAAAGCCCCCAGGGGACTGGGGGGAACCGCGGGGCGGGGGCTGGGGGAAACGCCCAGGGCGCTTTCCACTGCCCGGCCCCTTTAAGCTAGAGAGTAAGAACCCTTCTAGGCAGAGCCTAGGTAGGGAAAAATGCAAGACATCCTCGGGTCTATAAGAGATTACCGCACCCCGAAGAGAACGATGCCCCAGGGCTACTCGGGCGCCTCCGCGCCCAACGAGGGGGCTGGGAGAGGCGGGGGGGTCGCGGATACAGAAAAGGATGTAGACATGGAGCCTCTGGCCTGACGTGGAGGGCCCGAGAGAGAGTCAGACTTTCAGAAAATGCCATTCGAAAACCGAACCCCTTCGCCGAATTCGAACCACGACTGCCACCCAAATCGCTCCCGTTCTGCAGACGGGGTCGGCTGGGGAGCGCCAGCGCGGGCAGCGGCGCCAGCGCGGACTCGACGCAGCGCCTCCAGCCTTGCCCGAAGGGGTGCCCGCTCCAGGCCCAGCGTCATATGCGGGCGCCCTGGCAGCAGCGGCAGAGGCCCCGCCCCCCCTGCCGCCTCGCCGCCCTCGGCGCGGCGCTTCCCGGCCGCTGGGCGAGTCGCCGTGGCCCGCTGGGCCGCGCGCGCATCGCGGGCAGACGCGGCCGCCTTAGCGAAGAGCTCGCGAGCCATCTCCTGCAGGCCGTTCAGGAGCTGCCCCCGCCTGGCCCGCGCGTCCCCGAGTCCTTCTGGAGCCAGCTCAGCATCGCCATCCACGACGCAGATGTCGCCCGCGTCGACGCGGAACGAGTCCACTTGACCCGACAGCAGGTTATCCAGGAGGATCGTCGCGGCCCCGCCGTCTCGGGCTTCTCCAGCTTCGACGCGTTGGCCATCGCGACCTTCTGGGCGAGCTCGCTGCGCGCCTGGCCCAAGTGCTGGAGCTCTTCCGCCACGGTTGACAGGTGGCGCCTCTGGGCTGCAAGCTGCTCGTCCGACTGCTTGATCCTGTGCAACTCCTTCTCCGCCTGCATGCCGCGTCGCAGCCGCCCCTGCTGGCGTCGAGCGAGCTGTTCCTCCGCCGGCGGGCGCAAGGCTGGCAGCCGGGCTCGGCGGCGCCCGCCTTTCGCGGCGCCGCCGGCCATGTCGCGCAGCAAGATGATGCTCTCGAGCTCCTCTTCAGCGAGGTTGGCCGCGGACGCGGGCTGCCGGGGATGACCTCGAGCCCCGGGGGCGAGCGCGAGGAGCGGCGAAGCGCGCGAGCCAGAACGGGCGACTCCATGACGCTGCCCGCCACGTCGCCCGTCGTCGGCGCCGCGCGCTCCGCCGCGCTGGCCAGGCCCCCCCCGGCGACGGCCGCGCCCGCTGTTCAAGGCCAGGGTCAAACCAGCCTGCGCCGCTGAAGATCGAGACCGGCTGGCCGACGTTCAGTGGCGAGCGGGCGCGCGGGGCTGCCCCGCTACTCCAGACACTGGCAGGGCCTGCAGGCCCAGCAGGATGAGCCCCGGGAGCACCAGCATTGCAGGACCCTCGACATGCTGTTCTTGCGCGACGTCGACGCGACGGGTTTTCCGCCGCATCCGCAGTTGCCGCATGGCGCCCTGGACAGCCGTGGACTTCGCGCCGCCACCGCCCCCTGCCAACTCGCCGCGGCTGCGGACTGCGAAAGAAATCGCGGCCCAGCGGCGCGAGCGCGGGCGGGCGAGAGGCCGCGGGGGCAGACAACACTGCAGGGCGCGGAAGGCAGACTGCGTGCGAGAGCGAGAATGCAAGAGGTGCCCGAGAACAAGAGAGCCGCGGGGGCCGAAAATCCCGCGCTGACGAGGCAGAGACCCTGATCAAAACGCCATGGACTTGACCCAGAAAGGCTTTGGCTACGGATCGTGAACCCCCTCTGGAAAAAAGCATCTGCCTCCGGCCGCCTTGACCGCGGGATGACCGCGCTCGCGAGGATCTTTGTCCCCGACGACTCCGGGCCAGGCGGGCGAAGCGACTGGGCGTCGCGGATGGCGCAGTCTGAGTATCCATCGACCTCCCCTCAGTGCAACGCGTGCTACCGAATAATCATTGAATCCAGACACTGGTGAGTTCCTCTACAACACCGTCCAGATCTATTCATCTAGATTTTCCACCGCGATGGGAGCGCCCCGCCTGGCGGCGCAAGGAAACCGGCCAGGGCCACGCGCGCAATTTTGCGGGGTTCGATGCGTAGATCTGGACCCAGCACGAGGGGGGGGGGACATCGAACAAATCCAGATTGCCGTTGAATCGGGCGAGGCAGGCGTCAACGGGACCCTGGAAATTTACAAAGGCAAATTGCAATGGACATGGTGGCTGGGCCAGCGGCAACTGCAGGGCCGGGTCGGAAACCGTTCGAACGCAGGCCGGAAGGAGCCTAGGTCGCAGCGTGCTTCTGGAACCGACGACGTTGTCGACGAAGTTGTCCAATGGCCTTTTCGGGGGTGTCACCGAAATCATCTTCTTCGGCCGTTTGTGCTGGGCTTCCAGATCGGCGACCTGCACTTGGTCGAGCTCCGTCACAGACTGGGCCGAGTTCAGATGCCTCGGCCGCCCGCTGAGAGCACCAGGCCCCAATGCTGACCGAGCGCGCGGGCGAACCTACAAACGGAGATCACATAAACTCACATCATGCCTCCGCGCTGCCCGGGCGATCTCCGGGCGCAGCGTGACGCCGGCAAGCCGCGCGCGAGGCTCATGGTGCACGCTGGCGTTCCGAGCAAACCTCGCCACCTCCGTCACCAGACGCTGAAAGGAGTCCACCGCCAGCGGCGGCGAAAATCCGCCCCCAGACGCCGGATCCTTTCATCCCCCGCAGAATCCGGAAAATACTGAATCTCAAAGATCCCTTAGGGATGGGGCGCCGCGGAATGGGCTCTTCGGAATGCTCTCGAGGCCCGCGGAGGTAGGGGCGTGATCCGAGATGCCCTTGCGGCACGCCGCTTTGATGAGGCCCCCTGCGGACCCCATGGCGTTCAATTGAGTTGGGCCCTATCCGGGAGCCGAGGCGAATCGCGCGTCGATCTCGCAGGTCGAATCGTTCGCGAGGCCACAGTGGGCAGGGCCTGGCGCCCTTGACCCCGCCCATCCTCAAGAACTTCTGCCGGAGGGGGTCTCGCCCAGCTTTCTATCGTGACAATCGAACATGGGATGGGCCCGTCCAGCACAACGAACAACGGCAACGCTCGCCGCTATGAGGAGTGCAAGTCAAAATTGCCAGCGCCCTCTCGGAGGCTTGCCCAGCTAGACGAACATCGTGCTCAGTAGCTCTGGCAACGTGCAGTTTGTGCTCCCGGGACAACCCCAAAACATTGAACGCGCCAATGCAAAATCCAACAGCCTCCCGCCCCCTCAGAAGTTTTAATCACAGCCAACACTCTGCCTGAAACAAGCCCCGCTCGTGATAGCAGCCTCTAGCGACCACCCGCAGAAAGGGTGTCCGCAATCCGCCAGCTTGCGCGATAGGAATAAAAGAATGGAACATATTGGTGCTCCCGTGGGTCTGGTACGTCATTATTCTCAACCTCCGCCAGGGCACCGCGGGTCTCCTGAATTCCCACGATCGTGGCAGGGGAGACGAGGGTTCGAAGCATACTTACATTCTGGGCGCGGAGTCTCAGGCCGTGATGTAGCAAGGCCCTGGCGCTCCAGCGCGTGATCGCCAAGCGCGACCTGGCCGGGGAAGAGTCCCTTCAAGCCCGAAGAAAAAGGCTAAAGACACTCGCCTGCACCCTCGGTCCCCGCGAAGAGTTTACATGCCATCGCGCGGACGACACCAGGAGTCCATGTTGAGGGCGCTGATACTCTTAGCACTGAACAGAATCGTCGGCGAACGGTTGCCAGGCATGAGCCCATGGGAGACAAGGTCATTCCGTGCGGAGCTGATGGCGCCACCCTCCCGGTCCAAGGCAAACAGCTTCTCACTATGAAGGTTCAGTCATCTTGCGCCGCAGCTCCCTGGCTACCCCATTCGGGCATTTGTCTGGGCTGATCGAACACACTACCGGAATACCTCCCATCGGTGAAGGAGCCGGGATCCTCCTCCATCCCCGTTCCTGCCAGGAAATTTGAGACCATTGATGGCCTGCCGCACTTTCTTGCCACCGTAACACTTCTAACAATTCACAGCGATGTTGAACCGTTGATCCACCAGCGCACCCCCCCGGTAATCTAGCCAACGTGCACGCTGCAATCCTCCTGCCAAGGGCAAGTGGCATTCGGAATCGCCTCCTTGGGCACGAGGGCTTGGCAGAGTAACGCGTTGATGGGCTCGTCGATTTTACTGTCGATACCCGTTTCGACCTGCTTGGTGGTGTCTCCCCCCCCACGCTGGAGCATTCCGACCAAGCCGCGCAGCGTCTGCAACTCCAGGTTAATGACTCCCGCGACTCGCGACGTGCACGTCCACTTTGCAATCCACTTTTCACATATGTTTGTTTCCGCATACTTGCCGGTGCCTTTGCTGTACTCCCACCATGGCGTTGCTGAGGCCAGCAAGAGAATGCTGCATGACCACGGTGCTATCCCTGATGTTCTTGTTTGTAGCCTGGGCATCATGTTGAAGTTCCTGCTGCAAGTTCCTGCTGCTGATCGTCATATCCAGTTCGACGTGGCGTAAGAGTATCTCAGGAACTTTCTGGGCCCAAGCGGCGAGGGGCGAGGGCGGTGTCGTCGGTGCAATATGAGACCAACGAAGTGAAGCTTTTTGGGGTGTCGCCACCAAGGCCAACATGATAGCCACGTTCAGTCCCAGATGGGGACGCAGGTGGTGTACTTGATGGTCCTGGCGGGGCAGGTGATTTGGCTCCCTCGAGCGATGGGCACAGACCTTCATCAACCAGTTCGGCTTCGATCTCAGCGTCGTCCAGGATACCGCCGTCGTCCTCATCGTCAATGGTTGGAATCTTCTTGGGTGGGGCACCGTCGGGCCCGTTCCTGTCAGCAATTGGCCCTTTCCTCGTAGCGCCTTGCACACCGGGGCCGACGGCCGCCATGACTCACGACTGGAACCGAGAATACGGGAAAAACGATAAAGATTGAAGCGCATGCGCGCGGGGCCGCGCCTACTGCCGGCCGAGGACCTAGATGGGTGTCGCACGGCGGCTGCAACTGCCAAGCTCGAGCCCCCGCGACAAGGGTTCAAACTTGAGCCCAACTGGCCTGAGCCAAACCCTCGCAGATCTGGATAGTGAAGCACCAGACGGACGGGGGCGTAGAATTTTGAGGGATACCTGCAGCCATGTGGGCCCGATGTGCTCGAAACCCCAGCATCCATCCGTTCGGAGGGATAGGGTTCGCAAATGGTCGCAGATCGCCCGCCCCCTGTCCTGGCAGGAGTCAGGAAATATGGCGACCAACGACAGAACAACGAACGACAGACGAAATGACAGGAACGTGGGGGGGGCACGATGCAACCAAAGAAATCTCAAACTGTGATTGCGCAATGGTCTAGTCTGCCTGTCTCAGGAATGAGCCGCATGACTTCCAGATTCAAGCCTCGCCGGCTGCTGCGGGACGCGCAGCAAGTGCACGCTCGCATGCACATCTGCCTAGAGCAGGTTCAGAAGTCCTGCGCCCAGCCCCGGCACGCGCACGGCAAACAAACATGCGCAGCGGCCCTGGCACGCTCTGGCAGAGGGTAGAAAGCCACCAAGGGAGCCTGGGCTCGCCGCCGAACGACAGGTACGATGCCAAACCGCAGATATTGCCCAAACGCGACAATGGCCGCCGTTGGGAAGGCGACCTCTTGTGTCAAACGGACAGCCTCCGCGGCGACACCGGCCACGAATCCTCGTCGACATGGACAGGAGGTGCTGTCGGCCGCCGCAACCATTCGCTCAGACTGGCACGGCCTCTTCGGCAGGCCGCTCGGCCGCTTCGCGAGGGGTCTCGGGGGGCGGGGAGCGGAAGCGGAAGCGCCCGCGCGCGCTCGGCTGCGCGCGCCATCCTGGACGGCCTTGTATACACATGCGCAGGGCGCCCCGTGGCAGAGAGGAAAAGGAGGAGGAGGAGGAGAAAGAGGAGGGAGGAGGGGGAGGAGGGGGAGGAAGAGGAAGGAGGAGGATAAAGGAGGAGGAGGAAGGATGGGGGAGCAGGAGGGCAGGAGAAGCAGCAGGGATATCCCACCGACTGATGGCCGTCCTTGACACACACCTCCATCCTCTTGGACTCCTCGTCGGTGTGGTCATGCGCTCGCTGGAGCCCCTCCTGGCGCAGCGCGCCGCGGCTCCGGGGGACAGGGCATCCAAGGGACGCCGGGGGATGGATGCGCGTGCTGGGCATCGCCCACGGCGGTCTTGGGTCGTCTTCAGGTGTTTCGTTGGGCCTCTGCCCGCCAGGGGGCACCAGAGACATCCGTTGAGGTGGTGGCGCCCCCGTGGGTTTCCGCCTCCCCCGAGCGCACACACCCGAAGCCATCGGGCACGATCGCAGTGACATCGCACGCGTGCGCTCGCCGTGCAAGGGTGAGAAAGAACGACAAGAGTAGAAAGTGGGCAGGAGAGAGGGGCGGGGGAGGAGGAGGACATCCTTCTTGACGAGCTCGCGTCCTCGCTCATCCTCTTCCTCCTCCGCCTCCACCTCCATCTCCTCCCACTGTCCTTGCGCCTTCCCTACTCCTTTTTTTCCCCCTCCTCCTCCTCCTGCTCCTCCTCCTCCTCCTTCCACTGCCCATTTTTCCTCCCTCCTCCTCCTCGTCCTCCTCCTCCTCCTCCTCCTTCCACTGCCCGTTCTTCCTCGCTCCTCCTCCTCCTCCTCCTCCTCCTCCTCCTCCTCCTCCCCCTCCTCCTCCTCCTCCCCCTCCGCCTCCTGACCCTGCGCGTGAGCATCCTCGTCCTCCTCCTCCTCCTCCTCCTCACCCTCCTGACCCATCTTGGTCCTCTCTCCTCCTGCACTATGCACGTGGGGGGCACGCGCGCGGCACATCGACGGTGATCACCATCTTGTTGAGCCTGCCGGGCAACTGGCGGAATTTCATGGTGGAGGAAGGTGCAACAGGAGCCTCAGAGAGGGACGATGAGGGAGGAAGAACCAGCGAGACGGAGGCGCGGGAGGACGACAAGGAGGAGGGGCTCATCAGCAGCACAGCCAGAAGCAGGATCGGGGGGGAGCCAGAGGGGGGCAAACAGGAGCAGCAGCGGTGGCAGATGCAGGAGCGAGGTGAGGCGACGCAGGGAGGAGCAGGAAGGAGGCGATGGATAATCAGCAGCAGCAGGACAAGGAGGAAATAGAGAGGGGACCTCCTCCTCCTCCTCCGCCTCCTCCTCTTCTCGTCCCGCCGCTGCCGCTGCATCCCTTCGTCCCCACACGTAACTCCTCCTTGTCGCACCCCCAGGCGTGTCCGTAGGGCGGGCAGGGCGTTTCGCCTGAGCTTCCGTCACCATTGATGCTCCTCAAGCTTGGAATGCACAGCAATTGCAAAAGATGGAGGGCGGGCTGTTTTCAGAACGTTGCTCTCGCCTTGGCGCCGCGCAGATTCGCCCCAAAGCTCCCCACGTCTTCAGGGATGGAGGGCGGGCCGATCTCAGAATCTCAGATCTCAGAATCGCAGCAAACTCTTGCCACAGTCTCAGCGATGGGGGGCGGGCCGTTCTCGGCACCTGGCTCCCTCCCGCGCGCCACGCATACTCGTCGTCGACGCTTGCAGCAGTCTCAGAGATGGAGGGCGGCTCCTTCTCAAGATGTGGCTCTCGCCTTGGCGCCGCGCGCACTCGCCTTCAGAAACATGCAGCAGGCTCAAGGATCCGTATGCTTGAAGTCCCCGGAAACGTGTTCCGGCACGGCTTTGCACTGTCAGGGCGCAACAGTCGCGTTGACTCACGGTGAAGTTCCAGGAATAGTGTTCTGCTACGCTTTGGGATTGTCAGAACGCTCCAGCCACGTTGATTCGCGGCCTCCGAGTGTAAGAAGCTGTATCAGGATTAAGCATTCTCAGAAGGCTTTCAAAAAGGCACTTCCCGCATGGAAACAAATTCTCGCAGGGACCTGTGAAGAGCAAACTTGGAGGCAGGGTCGATTGCAACAACATTGGTACGTCGTGTGATTACGCTGGTCCTCCTCCTCCTCATCCTGCTCCGCCTCGCCCCCCCCTCCCCAAAGGCACCAGAAAGTCAAAAGGCTGCTGGGGGCACCACTGCCCATGGAAGACGGGCAGAACATCTGCGAGCACGAAGCCAGCGAACGGCGCAGATTGCCGTTCCTCTGCGCTGGGGTGTCACCAACACGCGGAACGCGCGCCGCAGAATCGTAGCACAAGCATGCGGGCGCGAGCCTGAGCGGAACTTCTCGACCGAACCCTCGCCGTCATCCCCTCCCTCTCTCCCCCCCTCCCTCCTCCTCGAGGGGGCGCCTGTTTTCCAACACGTCCAAGTCCTGCGCAGTCCGGTCCGCCGTCTTCTGAATCCGCACCGTGTTCAGCTGACCGGGTGCAATGCGACGACGACTACGACGAGGCTGCACCTAAGGCGGAAGAAAGCCTCACGAGGAATGTTCCGTTGACGTGGCGCGCGTTTCCCAGCGCATCTGTGGTAGCAAGACAGCAGCTCCGCACACGGCGCGGCATTCTCAATTTTAGCTCAGCCCACGCACCGCCCGGTGTCGGAAATGCCAGTGCCAGTACCCCAGAACAGGCCAAGAGGGTTCCCAGAAGTTTGCGAGCCCGTCCTCGAGGGTCTGGGGACGGGCCCCATGCCCCCGCCCAGACGCGCCTATGTTTTGTCTCCCCTAGCGCAAGCTACACTGCGCATCTAACGCATGCCGACTGTGCTCCCGCCACAGCAGTGGAATTCTGGGTGAGTGGCAGGCTATAACGGGCATGCACGAGCACAAGTAGAGGAGCACGCAACGTCGACGTGCAGCACAAAGCAGACGCGTGCAACATGCGCACTAAACAACACGCAAACGCGCGCAGAGCCCCGAAGCGTTCGAGCCGCGCCTCAGGACTCAGGACCCTGGCGTCCGCGAAACAACCCCTATGCGGGGATTAGTGCCGTGGGTGTGCACAACGCAGAGACGCGATGCAGACCAAGTCGCCCGCACGAGCCGCGCCAAGGGGAGGAGACACAGTAGCGGCCCATGCCAAGAAGCATCCTGCTTGCCGTCAGGGTGCCCTGGGTTTCTTGGGTTTCGATGTTTTTGCGATGCAGAGCATGACGCTCCCACACGAAAAATCAATGGACGTCCTGGGGTGTCAAGGTTGGGTTCCTTGTGGAAGATTTCTTGTGGACCGGCTTCCACTGTACACGAAACACACGGCGATGGACAAGCGGGAGCAAGAGGCTGAAAATGTGTACCGCGTGCCCCCGAGATTGGCATGTGCATGTCTGCCTCGCAGGATCGTGAGCGCGATGAGGTGGCACTCACGAAACTAGATGGAACTAACATGAAGCCGCAGGTGCCTTATCCAAGACGGCGAGTAGACTGCAGCGAAAGATGGCGCAGAGCTTGGTACCGAGAGGGGTGCTAAGCCTGGCCTTCTGCGCGTTGCACATATCCTCGCAATGCTGCACGCGGCTGGAGGTCTCACCTCCACCAGGGCTCTGGCTCAGAATGGCCAAGGCAAAAAGCATATAGCAAAACCGAGGGGAATGGAAGCACAGGGTTGTGAGGCAAGATGACGAGCAGAAACCCGATCAGCAGCACCAACTCGTGGAGGTTACGAGGAGGAGGACGAGGACGAGAAGAGATCCCGCAATTCAACAAGTGGGAAACTCAAACGACCGAGGAGAACAATGAGGCTGCGAAGGCAGCGGCGCACGGTGCACGGCCAACGGAGGCGCTGTGCGAGTCGTTCACCTTGGCCTCGCCCGGCGCACGGCTCCCAGCGGCAGCAGGCCCCCCGCAAAGTGGAGCGAAAGGGGCGCCACGGCCCCCCCCCGGCCCCCGTGGGCGCCCAGGTGCGGGGGCGTCTCGGGCAAGCACGGCCGAGGGAGGGAGGGAGGGAGGAGGGCGGCAAGGAAAGGGGGGGGGGTCGCTGATGACCAGGGAGCCCCACCCCATGCCGAGAGCGCCGGGAAAATTCTCACACCGTCCCCCCCCTCTCTCCCTCCGTTTTCCTCCTCCGCATTTCGCCTCCTCTTCCAATTCCTCCGCTTTCTCCCTCCTCCCCAGGCAACTTGTTGTAAAGATGCACCGCTGCGACGAGTGGTCAAAGAGCTGGGGATGCTTTGGTTGCGTGAGGGCGCCAAAGCCATCCGCACTGACTGCTCGCCCCGGCCCCTCTGTGCAGACTTCTCGCCACGACCGAGCCTGTTGAGCCCGAGCCATAGCCGAGACCTCCTCCAGCTGGGCGGGTAGAGGGGTGGGACCAGCGGGGACGTGGCGCTGATAACCAGGGGGGCCGACCGAATACTGACTGAGGACACCGGGTAAAACCTCGGCAAAATCACCCGCCCACTCCCCATCCCCACACGCAAACTCATCCCGGGGCGCGTTCTGTCCAGAATCTCGAAGCGAACCCAGTAACGGCGACGACAGGGCCCCCCCCCCCGAACCACAAAGGGCCGCGATGTTGGACCCCCGGAAGCCCGAACGCCAGCGGAGGGCGAGGGATTCCAATTGCGGTCGGCCGAGGGTGCCGCCAGAGGGGGGAGAGAGGAACACCAGGGGCGCGGGGGGGCCGCTGACCTCCAGGACGTCGCAATACTGGCGGAAATCCTCGATGCGCTCCTGCATTCCGGGGGGCTCTGGAGGAGGAGGAGGAGGAGGAGGAGGAGGAGGAGGAGGAGGAGGAGGAAGACCAGCGCAAGCCTGGCACGCACGCCCCACCGCACCACTGATGCCGCAATGCGCCCGAGCTCTGGGCGGGGGGGGCGGAGGTGCTCGTCGACTTGCAGAGGGGAGAAGCACAGAGTAGAAGGGGCACATACCTTTCGATCAGGAGCCGCGCAGTGGCGCCTCAGCCCGCAGAGACGGCAGGCGCCTAACGGCACCATGACGATGGGGATCGACGAGGAAGATGGAGGCGAGAAGCGGTGGATGGGGTGCCCAACAAAGGGCAATAATAATCGAATAGTGAATCGAGGCGAAAGCGGCAACAGCGCTCGCGCTCTCAAGCGCCGAAGCCGATCTTGTCTTGCGAAGGGAATACGCAGGTGGCTTGCGGTAAACCCAGCACACACGCACCGCACTAGACCCTCCCGCCCCAAGTCCCTCCTCGCGAGTCCACGCGGGCAAATCCTTTATCTGGGGTGAGTATCCGCTGGAAAGGAAAGGGCCCCATGGACCTACACCAGGTGGCCTGCATGGTGGGAACTCAGCGATCCCCAAAGCATTACTTACATTGGGGGCTTGCTACTTGAGATGCGAGCAACTGGCTGGCACAAGGAGCCGCACGTTTTCTGGTTGTTCGCGGTTTGGCCTCCCATGCACCCCGACCGTTTCCCGCCACACTGGCCTTGTGTGTCGCTAGCATTCTGGTTGGTGGTGGCAGGGTTTCATATCGATCATTGTTGTTTCGCGCCCCGCTGGCCCTTTTTGCACAAATCGTCCAACGGCTACTTGGATCCAAATGGGTCCGGAATAATCCACACACGCGCACGGGTTCCACACAAGGTAGGGCCCCGCACACAAACAATAGTCCACCCACACACAAATACCTATAGCTTATTTGTAATATATATATATATAGAGAGAGAGATGTAGGACTCCACGAGCTAATCGGGTCCCACACACAAGAAGTCCCCCAGCTTGGGCTCCCAGCACAGATGGCTCCACACGTCGACTGTTCGCACATGGGGCTTGGCAAACACAAAATTCTAAACATACAGACACGCGGTTCCGCACACACGCACACACACAAACGCACGCACACAAAGACGTGTTCCGTCGCGGCACGACAGGGGCGATCCGCTCGCGCGTCAGGGAAATCTGGGCTGCGAAGCTGCGACTTGTTTCGCATGCAAGACGGGGGGAGCAGCAGAGGGCGGCCGTGGAGGAGGGAAGAAAAAGGAGGGCCACACAAAAAATCACACACACACACACACACACGCAAACACGCAAACACGCAAGCACACAAGCACACACACACACACACGCACACACGCACACACACACACACACGCACACGCACACGCACACGCACACACACACACACACACACACACACACACACACACACACACACACACACGCACGCGGGATTCCACACAGGTGGTGCCACGCACGCGGGGTTTACACATTGGCCTTCGCACGCGTTGGAGGTTTTACACGGTCCCCGCACATGGGACTTTATTAACACACAACCTCTTTCTCGAGTGAACCACCGCAATACGTAGACTGCGTCGGACCAGAGACTAACGAGAGAATTGGGAGATTAGGACGAACTCTTCTAATATTGCATCATTGCCCTCAGCATGGGAGGGAATCATTTCCTCTCAGACTCGTTTTAGATATGCCTGGAGGTGATCACTTCTTAGCTCACCCCAGCATTCCTCGGAAAGTTTGCCGAGCCGTCCCAACTCAGTCATGCATTCACAAGTCATGTGCACGAACGGCCCCTCCAGCACACTGACGAAAAATAATAACAAACAGACTGGGCCTGCAGGGGTGAACTAACGACGCTGGCAGATTGGGGTGGGCCTGCTTGCCGAGAACGACAAGGCCGACGAAGAGGGGTAGGAGAACGGCATTCTGGAAGACGGGGGAGCAGCGTGGATAAAAAGGAGGACAGCGGGAGGACTAGGATATTCAAGGCGGATGGGCTGCCGCATGCACTGCACGGTGGCATGCTGCATTTCACAGAGCAGGAAGAATTTTTGGGAAAGGGGGGCCAGGAGAGCGCGACCACACCAGCTCACATCATAGCGGCTCCTTTTGTGGACAGGCGCGCGCCAGGGCGTCATGTGTGTGCGTTGGGCGCCATGCTCGCGTACCCCACCCATTAGGTCCGAATCAACCTCACAACTGCTGTTGCGCTGGCCACTTCGGAGGCCATGTTTACACGCGTCTTCCGAAATAGCAGGGCCAATAGCAAGCAACTGCTCAGGATCACGCAACGCCCCGTCTGGCCGAGATGACTACGCGCCCCCAAAGGTCATCCGGCACACCGTCGAGCCGCGACCACTGGGAGCAGAGATCGAACTTTGCCCCGGGGGGGCCGTGACCTCCTGCGATGCGAGGGGCACTGGACCTACCCGCCTGCGGTGAGGGGTGGGCGCCGCTGGGGTGGACTCGGCCTCCGGGGTCCGCGCGGCCCACCAGGCCCAGTCTCTGAGACTCCAATGGCATGCGCTCGCCGAGAGCGGGATACTGAGCTCAAGTCGGGCGTGTCCCCCTACAGCCTACAGGGGGACTGTCGACGAAAAATAAAAAATACTCGAACAATACTCCAAAATGATCAAAAAATACTCAAAATATATTCCCCGACTAGTTGTTTACTATTTTTGGATATTCTCCCTGCAGAGGGACAGGCCCGACTTCATACTGAGCTTGCGAGCCACGAGACAGGGCACGGTCGAGGCCCACGTCTCGAGGCCGAGCCGGCGGGGGCACGACTTCGGAGGCGTCCGAGGGCAGGCCGACTGGGCCCAAGCAGCTGCGAAGAAGCCGTCGCGCTACTCTTACGCGCGGGATTTTGGGCGAGCAATGAAAACATACTCGAAAAATACCCCCCAAAAATTCAAAACGAGTCAAAACATCGTCCCCAGACTATTTTGTTACTACTTTTGAACATTCCTCCTGTAGAGGGACATGCCCGACTTCACGCTACTCGTCGCTCCCCCGCCATGCTACAATACGCTGACCTGTGCATTCACAACGGCGGTCCTCTCATGGGCAGAGGCGCGCCAGGGCGTTGCGCGCGCGCGCTGGGCGCCAGGCTCGCGCGACCCGTTCAACCCCACAACAAAAGTTACGATTACCACTTCGGAGGCCACATTTACACGCGTCCACCGAAATAGCAGGGCCTGTAGCAAGTAACCTTTCACGATCACGCAGTGCCCCGTTGGGCCGAGATCACGACCCCAAAGGTCGTTCGAGACCCCGTCGGGCCGCGACAAATGGGAACAGAGATCAAACGTTGCCCCGAGAGGTGGCGATCGCCTGCAATCTGGGGTCGACTCAGCCTCTGGGGCCAACGCGGCCAACCAGGGCTTGTCTTTGAGACGCGAACCAATGTTCCATTGTTTCTCCTGGCCAACGATCCGCAAACTTCACGACTGGAAGCCGCCTCAGAGACCACCTGCGCTTAAGTGCATGGCCAGGACAATGCTGGAACCTCCAGACAGGCACAACACCGTAATCGGAACAGCACCATGGCCCGCGAAGAGACGCATCCCACCCCTCCTCCCAGGATGGCCCACTAGACGTTCTTACATACTCCTGATGGCGTCCAGCTGTTTGCTGACACCCGAGCTGGCCAGCAAGCCACCTTCGAAAGTCTTGGGTGGGTTCTGGCTTCGCTTCTCGCTCGTTCTGCGAGAGCCCCCTCCGCGGCCTCGGACACGGCGGCGGCCGCCTCCGCGCCGCAGAGCACCAGCCCCAGCTTCAGCACGCCTCCCGGGCGCCCCGCCGGCGGCGAGGCCCGCGCGCGCCACGGCCTGGGCCCTGCCGCGCCGGGCGGGCCCGCTGCGCGCCGCGGCCTGGGCCCCCCCCAGAAAACTGCCCGCGGCGGGGATCGGTTAGCTCGTTGTGCTCACCGCCGCGGCCTCGGCGCACGCAGCGACGAAGCTAGACAAAGCGACCGCGCGGCGCGCCAAATGTGCTCCGCTGTTCAAGCGGTGGCAGGGCAAGCTTTACAGCGATAAGACCGATGCGCGTTGGCGCCAGGCTCCCGTGCACTGCCCCGCAGGCAGGCGCTCTCGGCCACCCGCGCACAGCCCTCGACAAGGCAATGTCCATTGTGACCGCCGACGCTGGACCAGCATCGGGCGTTGCCGAGGGCGCCGCAGTCGACGCCGTTCAAGGCGCCGCCCCCGGCCCTGCCGTGGAGCTATATCTCAACCGTGCTGACCCTGCCCCGACGCAAGAACTCAGCGCTCTCTAAAACCAACGTCACAGGGCTCCGTCTTCACCGGGGCTCTAGCGCACGGACCTTTCAGCAGCGCTAGGCTTACCGGCGGGCTCGCGCACTTTGACCACCGCGCGGCCATCAGCCCAACAGGGCCTGCTCCCGAATGCTCCGTCGTGGCAACAAGCCGCAGCGACGCGGCCGACGTTGTAGCGATCGCCATCGCAACGACAGCCTCCGGCGCCTCATCGGTGCTGCAGTCGGTGCCGCAATACTGATTGACCCCGCATCACCTCATATTGCCGTAGTGCTCAGGTACGGCGCGGTAGACACCGTGGCGCGGCTCGCCCACGTAGGGCTGAATGCCGTCGGACCTGAAGCGGCGAAACCACGCGGCGGCGCCGCGCGCCGACCCGCGCCCAACAGCCCAGGAGGCACGCTGCGAGACCAGCAGGCACCGCCGCGGCCTCGGATTCTGCCTCGCGGGCAGCGCGGCCGAGCCCGTAGCGGAAGGCTGGCGCTGCCAACTGCGCCCGAGGGTCACGACTGTCCATGCTGAGCCTCTCGACGAGGATATCGGCGGCAGCAGTGGACGCCGCCGTCTGCGCTCGTCGTCGTCCTCGGCGCCGCGGTCGCGGGTGCTGCAGTGGGCGGGGCCGCCGGCGCAGCGCGCGCGCCGCCGCCGGCGCTGCTGTCGGAGGCTCCATCGGCGCAGCTGTGGGCGCCGCCGTCTGCGGCCACAGTCGCAGTCTGACCTGCAGCCGCGGTGCCACAGCGCCGTGTCGCACCGAAATCTGGCGGCGCAGTGGCCGCGGCTAGCACAGCACGAACGGGGCGCCAGCGGCGCCCGCCAAGCCAACGGGGTCCGCGAGAGCTTCAAGAGCCCTCCGGAATGCGCGCCGCCAGCCAGCGGCAGGCGCGGCCAACCGAGCGCAGCCGACGCACCAAAAATGCATCGCTCGACCCCACCACCCTCGACCGTGACAAGGAGAGCCAGAGGTCGAACCCGCGAGCCAGTCCGGCCCTCAAAAGAGATCCCTGACGCTCGGCAACCTGCTGGCAATCGGCATCGCGGTCGGACTGACCGTCGGCGTTGTCGTCGGACTGGCAGTCAGCGTTACCGTTCGGTTGGCAGTCGGCGTCGCCGTTGTACTGACAGTCGGCCTAGCAATTGGACTGGCAGTCGGCTTTGCAGTCCTGCTGGCCGTCGGCGTCGCGGCTTGACCGGCAGTCGGCAATGCCATGGACAGCTTGTCGGCGCTGCCGCCGGACTGGAAGTCCGCGTTGCCGTCGTGCTGGCAGTCTGTGTGGCGGACCAAGCCGGCAGTGCCCTTGAACTGGCAGTCGGCACTGCCACTAGACTGGCAGTCGGCGAGGCTGTCGGACTGGCAGCTGGCGTCGCGGTCGGACTGGAAGATGGCGTCGCCGTCGAGCCCGTTCGGCTGGCAGTCGGCGTTCCCGTTGGATTGGCAGTCGGCGACGCCGTCGGACTTGCCGCAACACTGCCGTCGGACCCGCAGTCGGCGCCGACGCACCGCCGGCAGTCGATGTAGCAGTCTGCCTGGCAATCAACACTGCCGTCGGACTGGCAGCAGACAGCCTTGCCGTCGGAAAGACAGTCGGTGTCACGGCCGAATTGGCAGTCGGCATGGCCATTGGACTGGCCGTAGGCGCTGCCGTCAGACTGGAAGTCGGCGCTGCCGTCCTGCTGGCAGTCGGTGTCGCGGTCAAACTGGCAGCCGGCGTTGCCGTAGGACTGGAAGTCGGCATGGCCGTTGGACTGGCAGTCGGTGATGCCGTCGGTCTGGCCGTACGCGTTGCAATCGGACTACGTAAACAGTCGGCGTTGCCGTCCTGCTGGCAATGATGTCGCGGTCCGACTGGCAGTCGGCGATGCCGTCGGACTGGCTGACGGCGTTGCCGTCGGACTGGCAGTCGGCGTTGCCGTCGTGCCGGCAGTCGGTGCCGCGGACCAAGTGGCAGTCGGCACGGCCGTCGGGCTGGCAGTCGGCGTCGCCGTTGCGCTGCCAATCGCCGTCGCCGCTGGACTGGCAATCAGCGATGATGTTAAACTGGTCGTGGGCGTTGCCGTCGTTCGGGCCGTCGGCGATGCCGTCCTCCTGACAATCGGTGTCGCGGTCCGTCTAGCAGTCGGCTGTGCTGTCCTGCTTGCAATCGGCGTTGCTGTGGGACCAGCAGTCGGTGCCGCCGCCGATCCAGCAGTCGGCATGGCCTTCGTACTGGTAATCGGCGCCGCGGTCGAACTGGCCGTAGGCGATGCCGTCGGGCTGGCAGTCAGCGCTACCGTCCCGCTGGCAGTCGGTGTCGCGGTCGGCCTGGCATCCGGTGTTGTCGTCGGAATAGCAGTCGGCGATTCCGCTGGGCGGCCAACCGGCGACGCCGTCGGAAAATCCGCAGGCACCGACACACCTCAGCAGGACTGCGAAGTCCTCCATGGCGACAGCCTGCACAGCAGCTCCAGCAGTCGACAAGCGCAGGGAGGTGACCACGGCCGCCGCGCGGCCGCGGCGGCGGCAAATGCAGCGGCCGCGGGGACGGCCACCGAGGCGGCGGCCGCGCAGGCAGCGGCGCCCGCGGCGCCAGCGGCGAGTGCGGCGCCGGTGGCGCCCGCAGCCAGCGCGGCACCAGCGGGGCTGGCGGCCCCTGGGGAGCCAGCCGCGCCCGCGGCGCTGCCAGCGCCCGCGGCGTAGGCGCCGCCCGAAGGGAGAGGGGCGCCAGAGGCGCGCGCGGCCGCCCGCGGCGGCCCGCGGCGGCGCGCCGCGCGCGGCGGCGGGGCCGGCCGCAGCGGCCTCAGCGGCCGCGGTGGCAGCGGCCGCTGCGGTAGCGTCGGCGGCGGCGACGGTGCCGGCGGCGACCGCGGCAGAGGCGCCGGCCGGCTGAGCGGCGGCGCCAACCAGCGGGGCGGCAGCGCCTCTCGGTGGCGACCGCGGCGCCGGGGGGCGCCAGGCCAGGGGGCGCCACAGCCCCAGCGGCGCCGGCGGCGCAGGCAGCGGCCGCGCGCCGCTGTCGCCGCCGCCGCGCCCGCGCCGCGCGCGACTCCATGGCCCGGAGGCGAGGGCTCGGAGGGAGGAGCGAAGCTCCCTCCCGGACCTAGCTGGCGGCTGGACCCGAGGCCAGGGGCAGGCCAGCCGCGCAAGCATGCTTGGCTCCCTTGAGCCAGAGCGGGTTGAGACAGAGCTACGGACAGACACGCACTTTTTGCGTCGGCGGCTGGGCCGAGGTCGACTGCTACGCTGTATGTTAGGGCCGCAATGCACGGAAGGAGGAGGAGGAGCCCCGGCGCGACGGGGAGAGATAAAACCGAGCCACTCAGAGCTGCCGGCTGCGGCAGGGGGAGCGCCTGGGGGGAGAGCAGCGCTGGCACAGGCTGTACTGAACTGCACTGAGCTGAAGCTGGGGGAGGCAGCCAGGAACTGCAGCTGGTGGTGAAGAGAAGCAGACAGACACAGACACAGACACAGACACAGACACAGACACAGACACAGACACAGACACAGACACAGACACACACACACACACACAAACACACACACATGCACACGCGCACACGCGCACACGCACACACGCACACACGCACACACGCACACGCACACACGCACACACGCACACACGCACACACGCACACACGCACACAAGCACACACGCACACACGCACACACGTACACACACACAAACACCTACACAAAACACCAGACACAACCACTGAGGGCTTCCTCCTCCTTTTCCTTCTCCGCCTCCTCCTCCCCCTTTTCCTTTCTCTTCTCTCCTCCTCCTCCTCCTCCTTCTCCTCCTCTTTCTCCTCCTCCTCCTCCTCCTCCTCCCTCATCCTCCGCCTCCTCCTCCTCCTCCTCCTCCTCCTCCTCCTCCTCCTCCTCCTCCTCCTCCCCTCCTTCCCACCCTCCCCCCCCTCCTCATCTTCCCCCTCCTCCCCCTCCCCTCCCTCCTCCTCCTCCTCCTCCTCCTCCTCCTCCTCCTCCCTCCTCCTCCTCCTCCTCCTCCTCCTCCTCCTCCTCCTCCTCCTCCTCCTCCTCCTCCCCCTACCCCTATTCCTCCTTCCCCCCCCCTCCCTCTCTCCTCCTCCTCCTCCTCCTCCTCCTCCTCCTCCTCCTCTCCTCCTCCTCCTCCTCCTCCTCCTCCCCTCCTCCTCCTCCTCCCCCCTCCTCCTCCTCCCTCCTCCCTCCTCCTCCTCCTCCTCCTCCCCTCCTCTCCTCCTCCTCCTCCTCCTCCTCCTCCTCCTCCTCCTCCTCCTCCTCCTCCTCCTCCTCCTCCTCCTCTGCCGATGGACAAATATGGACGGGGTCCGTGGCTCACGAAGGCAGTGGCGCAGGGCGGCGAGCCAGGGTTTCCCTGTCCACCCGGGCATGCCCTGCGTTGCGCTTGCGCCTCCCGAGGAGATGTCTGCTGCCTGGCCTGCCGAGCTGCCTGGCCTGCCTGATCGAGGATCGAGGATCTTGGATGTGATTGGCCCTCTCGGGTCTGAAGCATCCGAAGACCTCCAGGGACGCCCAGGGGCCAGGATCCAGGCTGACTGGGCCAGCGCGGCGGCCTCTGGAGGACGGGCCGAACGATCGGCCCAGCACCCCTCGCCCAGCCCACGCTACGCACTCCCTCACGGGGACGGGGGGGAAGGTCGAGGAGGTGGGAGAAGGAGGGAGCATCGCGAACTCCCGAAAGACCAGCACGAGCTCGCTGCGCTCCTTCACGACGTCCATTTCCTCATCGCCGCGGGCGCGCTCTTCCAGGGCCAAGGTCGCCCCTGCCCCCGTCGGGGCAGGCACGGACAGGCTCGCCTGAACAAAAAACACCCCCGACCTTCCTCCGCACGGCCGCACAAGCTCCCGCCTCTTCCTGCCTCTCTCTAGGGAGATGCGTACGAAACCAAGGCGGGTCAAAGACGGCCCAAGCTGGCCGCAAGACGGGGCAGCGGGCTCCCTCGACGGCCCTCAGCGGACTGCTGAGCTGAGCGGGGGGGGGGGGCGAAACTGGCCACCACGGCACGAAGGAAGATGCGGAGGATGAGGATGAGAAGGGTAGAAGGAGACGGCGGATGAGGAGGAGAAGCAGAGGAGAGGAGGAGAAGGAGGAGCACACGTCGCCGTGGGGGGAACGTGTCGTCTTGCACGTGGAGGGCGGCGCGCGCGGCACCGCGGCCCTGGGCGAACAGCGTCCCGGGGGCGGTGTCCACCAGGCCGAGAGGAGACCGAAACTCATGGCAAATGTGAAAGGATATCCGCCTGCCCATTTGCGGGGCCACCAGGCTGCGAGAGTGAGTAATTGCCCCATAGTGGCGTCCCCGAAACCAGAATCCTTAGTGAATGAAGCGATAGTTGCATACCCGAAGCCATGCACCCTGGTACATTATACAATGTGTGCGTCCCCGACGACATAAACTTGTGTAAATTACACAATATCGCGTCCCCGATGCCACAAAGCAATGGAAATCACTCAAGATTCGCGCCCCCGACGCCATAAGCCCTTGCAGATAAATAAAATATTCGCGTCCCCGAAGCCATAAAGCCTCGTAAAGTACGTAATAGTTGCGCCCTCGGGACCATAAGCCTTCGTAAAGTACCAAATCATCGCGCTCCCAAAGCCATTAGCCGTCGTAAATTAAGCAATCTTCGCAGTTGCGAAATATTCCGCAGTTTGTGGAGTTCCGACGTTGCTTCGCGTCAGCGTCCAGACATCCCAACACAGCTCTGGCAAGTCCCATTCTAAGAGCGGGGGGGCCGGCGGCATGGGGGCAAGGCCCTTACGGATAATAAGCCGGCTGACCCCGAGATCAGTTTCCCTCCCAGACCACCCCATCCCCAGGCGAGAGAGGGGGCGGGGAGGACGAGAAAGGCTAAGCTCGGGATCAGCCGCCGTCCACAGCCGTGGACAAATAATGCAGTGCGCAATACAGTCTGGGCCTCCGCACCCGAACGCCTTGATATGGGGCCATCGGTGGCTGGGCGGGCGACGCGCCAGGAAAGACCTGAGGCGCTTCCATCGGTCGGTGATCTCTTGGATAGAGGGAGGGGGGAGCTCAGGAAACCAGGAGGAGAGTCGCCGACCGACGAATGCTGGCATATTACAAGGATAGGCGAGTGAGCGGAGCGTGATGCAGAGGACAGGTTGCAATCTCGGGGCGCGCCTCTTCCGACGGGCGACACCACAGTCCCAGCAGGAGCCGACGCGTGGGCAGTGCGGATGGGGTGAGGGGGGACCAAGCGAGAGAGGTGAGGGGGCCAAGGGAGGGAGGCTCAGCGGAGGGGGCGAAGAGGGTGGAATAGAGCTGGACTGTGCTGCGCCTGCTGTTTCCAGCACGACGCGCACCACTCTCCAGCAACAGCCCGTCGGAGGGGGCAGCAGCTGTAGGCACGGTCGTGCAAACGCTGGAGCGCATGTCCCCACTTCCAGAACGTTTTCCCCGCCGCTCTCCACATGACCGGAATTCCCATCGCTTCAAGTGGTTCGGGACCGCGCATCCAGGAAAGCGGAACTATTTCTTTCATCGCGAATCTGGAAGGTGGGAGTCGGAGGATCTTGTGAATGGCATGGTATTCTCTCTGCACCACCTCAGGAGGAAGGAGAAAACATTGGGCGAGATAGGAGAGGCATGGGAGCACGAGAATACGACACAGCCTAAGATACGCGTCTGTCGGCAATCAAGTGGCAGCAATAGCGCGGCATCGAGCCCACCACTTCTGTGCACCAGCCTGGAACTGATCTTGCCGCGAGGCCCGTACCTGCAAGAGCTGCAAATCGAAAAGTCAGTCCATTCTGGGACCAGGGCCGACACAGAGCCCCGACGGAGCTCGCTCTCAGCACCGTTCAAAGAGGCCAAGGTCGGGACCAAACAACATTTGCGAGGTTGCAGGTCAAGATGAGCCACAGTCGCCGCCGCAGCGAAGAGAGAGAGGAGGGAGAGGACGGGAAGAGAGGCGCCAACGTCATCAGCACAGCAGCACAGGTGAGGGGAGGAGTGGGGACGACCTGCTCTATCATCGCCTCTGGTGAACCATTCAAAAAGGCAGGGGCCGTATCGCTTCCGTCGCAGACTTTCGAAAGATGTCGGACCAGCGGGTCCATCCCCATGGCCCAAAGGATGCCAGACAGTGGGCACCCCTGGGGAACCCCACGCCGAATCGAAAACAAGTGGACCCGCTCGGATCCTATCTGGAGCAGTCCCTCGGAGTCTTGCGAAAGGGCAAGGGCTCAAGGACAGCGTTTAAACAGCCTCTGGGAATGCTAAATCTCTTCAGCACCGCTTTTTAACCAATGTTCAATCTCTTCAGCACCGCTTTTAGCACCGAGAGGAGGAGAAGGAGGAGGAACAAGAGAAGGAAAAGGAGGATGAGGAGAATAGGAGGAACGACGAGAAAGAGGAGGGGATTGCGGATAAGGATGATGATGACGGTGATGATGCTGATGCTGAAGACGGTACCGATGATGGTGATGATGATGATACTGATGACGATGATGATGTTGATGCTGATGCTGATGATGATGATAATGATGGTGATGATGATGATGGTGATGATGATGATGATGATGATGATGGTAATGGTGATGGTGATGGTGATGGTGATGGTGAGTGTGATAGCTATGGTGCTGGTGATGAGGATGATGATGGTAATGATGATGATGCTATAGGGTATGATGATGAATACGCTGATCATGACGATGGTGATGGTGGTTATGAAAATGATAATGAACATACGGGTGATGATCATGCCTCTGCTGACGATGATGGTGCCGATGCTGATGGTGAGAATGGTGATGATGGCGATGCTGATGGTGATGGTGATGGCGGTTTCGATGATGATGGTCATTATGTTGACGATGCTGGTGATGATGACTGTAGCGATAGTTAAGATTGTGATGATGAGGGTTATGATAATGTTGATGGTGATGGTGGTGATGATGATATTGATGACGATGGTGTTGTTAGTGATACTGATGATGGCGATGATCATGACGGCGACGACGGTGAAGATGGTGACGAGGATGACGATGATGACGATGATGATGATGATGCTGATGACGATGTTGACGACTACGTTGACGACAACAACGACAACACCGACAACGACGACGACGACGACGGTGATGATGATGATGATGGTGATCATGATGATGATGATGATGATGATGATGATGATGCTAATGATAATGATGATGATGACGATTCTCCCGCTCGCGCGCTAGCGAGCTGTCTCCGAGCGCGGCCGCGGCTCGCGCGCGCGGGGCGGCCCAAAATGGGCAGGCCCGTCCCGCGCGCTCGTGCCGGGGCGCCGCGCGTCAGGCGGGGGAGACCGCCTGCTCGCCGACGACGGCGAGGCAGCGCCCATCAGCCTTAGATTGGGAGAGGAGGGAGGGGGGCAGAGAAGCTGCGGAGACAGCAGGAGCTTGCTCACAGAGAATAGAAGAGGCATTCTCCCGCTCGCGCGCTAGCGAGCTGTCTCCGAGCGCGGCCGCGGCTCGCGCGCGCGGGGCGGCCCAAAATGGGCAGGCCCGCCCCGCGCGCTCGTGCCGGGGCGCCGCGCGTCAGGCGGGGGAGACCGCCTGCTCGCCGACGACGGCGAGGCAGCCATACCCGTGCTCAAGGACCTTGCGAAGTGACAAGGTTTCGGCGGGCGGCCGCAAGTAGGGCAGGCCAAGCGGCGGGGCCGACTTGGAGAAATGAAGCGACAAGGCGGTCGCTGGCGGTGGCGAAGAACAGGATCCGCGCCCGTGCGGGCACGGGCAGCGCAGCAAGAACTGTGGAAGCGGCGGCGGCTTGCAGGTAGCGCTCAGCACTGGAAGCCTGACGCCAACGCCCCCGCCAGAAGACGCGAGGGACGTCTTCCGTAGCGATATAGAAGTCTGTTGCGCCAGAGCCCCGCAGACATGCGGGCGTCAGGTTGAGCCCCTGACCCGCTTTGGCAAGAGGGACGCCCAGGGCCGAAAGCAAATGATTCCACCGAGTACGGAAGCCGCTCGCACCGAAAGGGGCGAGAGGATCGGTGGAAGCCAACCGCCCAAACACTTGATTCAGAATCTTCACCGTGCCCCGATCGGAGCAGCGAGCATGCTGCGTCGGGTACGTTCTCCTGGTCTTTGGAACAAGAATCGAAAGAAAAGCATCCCCTTCAACTTCGAGGCGGTCGCAAGGAAGCGACAAGTCACAGCGGCGTGACGCCAGCAGCTCGCCAGGCCTGAGGAACATCGTAAAGCCCATGAGCAGCAAGGCCGCCATCACAGGCCAGTCCCAGGCGAAACAGAGACCGACCATAGCGCGCAGCAGAGCGCGAGGTAAGGGCGGGCGGAGCTTTGGCGGCTCCGCGAGCTTCCATTGTTTCGCTACGTCCCAAGCTTCTGTTAGAAAGGCCTTCCAATGCGGATGAGCGCTCTGGATTCCCAAGATGGCATGAACCAGAATATAATGAGGGAAACCTGCATCATGAAGCCACACGCCGAAGGTCGCGAGGAAGCGGGCGAGAAGTATCCCGCTACGGTAAAGAGTGGCGGGCGGCACGCCAGTGTGTTCTGCTAACCACAGTTCGAACGCATCAATCGATCTCGAGCGACGATCGAGATACGCGGAGGTGAGGTGAGAATCGCGCACGAAGGGAGTGCGCGGAGGGCGAGCGGGCGCGGAAGGCGCAGCCCGACTAAGCCCTTGGCCTGCGGTCGGCGCCGCGGCTCCCAGAGAGATGCAGAGGCCGCAGACGCACCACAGGATGAGCGCAGGGCGGCCAGGGCTGGGAGAGCTGATCAGCGTGGCGGCCCTCCTGCTCCTGGACGCGTAGAAGGGCGGAACGAGGGTGTCCCGCCCGTCGGTCTCGAACCCCGACGCCTCCGCCAGCATCGCCCGCGCCGAGGTGAAGGATCCGCCCATGTTACGGTGAGCACGGCGAGCCCCTGCTTCGATCTCGGCGGGCAGAGCGCCCCCTCCCTCGAGGGTCGCCCAGTCAAAGGGCGGGCGCGGCTCGGCGCGCGCAGCTGCGGCCGATTCGGCGAGCTCGGAACGAGCTGCCGAGGACGTGAGGCCCGAATGATGTGGAACGGGCACCACCTCCGCGAACGCGTCGAGGATCTCGGACGGAGGGGAATGAGATCCCCACAGCGCTGCTGGGATGGCGCCGTGACCGTCCTGCACGTGGTACAGAAGGTCGAAAAGGCAGGCCAACTTGCCCGCGCGCCTCCTGTGCTCGATCTTTGAGCCGAGCCCGATGCCACGGATGGCGCCCGCCCCCATGGCTTGGAGGTCAGCGCCCGCGGGGATAGCCTCGGGCTCGACGGCGGCCACGTAAGGATGCAACCACGAGGCTTCGTCGATCGGCTCGGCGCCGCCTGTCTGAAACAGGCGCTTATAGGCGTGCAAGGCCTGCAGGAGGCAGTGCAGGTCATCTCTGCCCTCGGGCTCGGCGGCCCCTGCGGGTGCGAAAGACCTCAGCCACGACGCCGCGCTCTGGAAGGCAGCTTGCCAGGCGGGTCCCCACCTCACCACTGTGACCTTCTCACCGCCGAGGTTGAGACGCCACGCTAGGGCGGTGGCGGCCCCTGGAGGCAAGGGCTGCTCAACGGCCGCGGAGGCCGTGCGCCGCGCTGCGAAGGCTGCAGCCGCGGCGCTCCCAGCGTCGCCGCTGTGGGAGCCGCTGGGATGCAGCTCGTGCCCTGAATCTCGGCCAGGCGCGGGGCCGCTCGAAGACCCCCTTTCCTCGGCGGCACGCCCTCCGCCCTGCGGGGCCGCAACAGCATCGCTGGAGGAGCGCGTGCCTACCGAAGACTGAGGGGCCTGAGCAGCGGAGTCCGCGCGGGAGCTGCCTGCGTGGGCGTCGCCCGAGCTCGCACCATGGCGGGACGTGGCTGGCCGCTGCGCAGTAGCGGGGCTCGGGCGCCGCTTCGGAGCGACTCGAGGGGAGCGCACCTCGCGACGCCGAGGCGACGTCGCCTGACGCGAAGGCGCGCGAGAGGAGCCGCGCGCGACGGCCCGACTAAGCCCCTGGCCTGCGGTCGACGCGCGGGATCGCGACGCCGCACGCCCACCAGAGTGGTGAGGGGGCGGCGGCGGCGGCGGGGGCACGGGCCGCGGAGTCTCGGAGCCTACACGCGTGCCGCGGCCCCGAGAGCGACTGCGAACCGAGGCGCGAGCGGCGGGCGGAGAGGCCCCCGAGCGGCGAGGGAAGGCCGCCTGCAGGCGGCGGAGGACCTCGGGGTTCAGGCCCGCCACGACGCGCTCGAGGTCCATCGAGGAGTCTGCGAGGGCACTCAGCACGACGTCCTCGAGCTCCGTCGGAGAGTCCTCGTCGCACGCGGGCTCCGCTCTCGAGCGGCTGCGAACGCTCGCGGGCGGGGACCCGTCAGGAGTGTGCGGGCCCTCCGATGCCTCCCCCGCAGGCGGCTCCGACGGCTCCTCGGGCGAGATCGGGCCGTTGACGGGAGGCGACGAGCAGCCCCCCGAGGGAGAGGTGCGGTCGGTCCCGTACGGGTTTGGAGACCGCGTACGGCTGCGGGCAGGGCTGCGGCTCCGCGGTGGGGAGCCCACTCCCGCGGCGGAGCTGGGGCGTGCCGCGCCTGCCCAGCGGCGCGCATTGGCAGTGCGACGCGCCCTGCGGCCAGGCGCCGTGGCGGCCCCCCCCTCAGGGGCGGGGAGCGCCGCCATCGAAGCCCGCCGCTGCCTGGCGGCGCGCCTGGCGCGCGCGGCGCCCGTGCGCGAGGCGGAGTGCGGCGCGTGACCACCGCGGTTGGGCTGGTCCTCGACCGCTTCATCCCGCGGGCCCAGGCGGGCGCGGACCGCGCGCCGCTCACGACGGCTGAAGCTGGACGCAGGGTCGTCGGCGGGCCTTGCCAAGGCGCGCGGGTCCTCAGCCTCCACCTCGGCCAAGGAGCGGCCAGTGGACGACGCGGGTGCGTTCCCAGCACGAGCGGCACGTTCTGCGATGGCGAGGCCCGTCGAGACCTCAGCGTTGTGCAGGACGGCGCGCAAGGTTTTGCGCCAATCCCGACCCAGCTGGACGGGAGCAGTGCGCGGCAAGCCCGCGGCCTCTCGACTGGCGGCCTCGCGCACGCGTCGGAAGTAGGCGCGATCGGCCATCCCTTCCGCGAGCTCGGCACGAGCGACGGCACGCTCTCCTTCGCCGCGTGCAGGAGCCTGCACCGTGCGCCTGGTGGCGTCGGCACGCGCGGTGCGGAGTGCGTCGAGCTCCACGCGGCCGCGCGACACGGCGGAGACGAGGGTGGCATCCGACTCAGCCGCCCGCGTCGCGAGGGCAGACGAAACCCCGCCCCTCGGGAGAGGCGCGCCCGAGGCGGGGAGGGCAGCCCGAGGGGCCAGCTCGGCGCTCGCAAGGGCGACCCGCGAGGAGACCGCCTCTTCGAGCGCCTGAAGGGCCATGGTCGACCCTGGAGCCAGCTTGCCCTTGCGGGCGCCCTTTCCTGCCGCCTTGGCCCGGGCGTAGGCGCGGGCGGCAGGACCGTCGCCGCCCGTGCTAGGAACATCGGGCGGCGCGGCGGCCTGCGAGACGGCCTGGAGCAACACTGACTTGGCGTCACAGAGCTGCTTCCACTTCAGCGCGCGGGCTGCTCGCTCGTCGGCGCCCAGGTGCGCGGGAGTCCTGTCTGGATGGTAGACTAGGGACTGGCGCCTGAAGGCGGCCTCAATTGTGCCGCGCGAGGCCCCGTCCACTACGCCAAGCAGTTGGCGAGAGGCGCTCACCCTGGCCGCTCGCTGGAAGGTGCGGGGGGTAGCTGCTGAGGCCCCCTTTGGCGCTTCCCGCGAGCCGACGCGCGACGAGCCCACCCCGATAGCAGGCGGAGGGGCCGCCGCGGCCTTGGAGCGGAGGGCCAGTGGCGGAGCACGCTTGGCGGCCTGGGGAGCCGATCCTGCGCTGGCGGCGCCAGGGTCGGGGCCGGGCGAGCCGCCCTCCGCGGAGGCAGACGCTTTTGGCGTGGCGTCTGCCGAGGACGCGAGAGGCCGTTCGCTGTCAGCGAAGAGCGCGTTGCGAGGCCCGCGACGCTCTCCGCTGGCGAGAGCAGCTTCACTGCTGCTCTCGGCGGCGCCCGAGGGGTCAGGTGCCCCCCCCTGGGCGCCGTCGCTGGCGGCGTCGGCGGCCATCCCCGCGCCCTCCGAGGGGGGGGGGGCGGCCGCCCAGCGGTGGCTGAGCAGCCCCTCGGGGCCTCGAGCCACAAGCTGCGCAACAAATCGGCCCCAGAGACAAGTAGGGAATGACGAGCGGGAGTCGGCGTACGCAATGCAATCAAAGCGAGTAAATTCTCCTCTCTCTGCTTCAACTAACCAGGCGGGAGGGTCACGGGACGGGGGCCTCACCGCACGGTTCCGCGTGGGGTCGTCGGCCCTGTGCACGTCCGTAGGCACGTACATGCCTCCCATATATAAACCTCCTCCTATCACATAGGGCAAAGTGGTCGAAAGAACGTGAGATAGACCAGGAGAGCTACTGCGCCCGTGAGCGGTCGCGCCCAAAGCCACTTTTGAATCCAAGAGAACGGGGATACGAGAGTCAGGGAGGCGAATACAGCAGTACTTGCACAAGCTCTTATACACCGTTGTCTCAAGGATATTGATGTGACGGGGCATGCGAAACTCCCATTTGTACGCGAGCCGAAAGCGCAGCGCCTCTGATAGCTCGGTGACCCAACGCGGCGCGACGGGGGGCTCAATAGACGGGAGCCCCAGGTCGCGATGCAGTTGGGCGAGCTCAGGGCCCAAGGGCACGCCGCGGCTGAGTACGGCGAGGAGGCTCCGATTGTGCAGGATCGTGTGCCACCCCCCGTGCTCCGATCTGCGCCACAGCTCGGCGGAGAGCTGCGGGCTGATAGGAGCGCGGACAACGCCCCCCCAGCCGAGAGACGCGTCCGTACCGAACACCTCGGGGCAAGGCTGCGCCCGAAGGTCGGTTATAGCCGTAAAGGCTAAAAAGGTGCAGGCCAAAAGCTCGTCGCGAACATAAGGAGGCAAGTCGTATTCAATGCCCTCCTCGGTCGCCAGGCGCGACAGGAAGTTGTAGACGTGCGTGAAAATGGCGAGCATCGGACGGCGATAGAGGAACACCTGGACCCAGCAGCCCACAAGAGAGGCTAACAGGGAGCGTGTGGTGATGCCGAGGTAGATTTGGATCAGGGTCAGCCTGCACAAGGCCACCGTCCGCACTAAGGGAGCGCAGACGATGCCTATGCGCCCTTCCACCTCGGCGCCCACCACCACCTTGTGCGTTTCGCCGCGCGCGCGCTTGCCTGGATGCTGAATCAGGCCCACGCGCGGGTAGCCTGCATCGCAGGCGGCGAAGACCTCACGATCACGACGACAGGGGTCGTCGGGGCGAGGAGCGGAGCCATGCCACGAGAGCTTCTGAAAACCTGTATGGTCATCAATATTCAGCATCTCGACAAACGGTCCCCGCGGGAAGGGCGAGCGGTGGACAACCTGCTCGTGAGGCCGCAAGGCCCCGAAGCTGTGCAAGACGCCTTCATGTGCAGAGTTGGCAATCTCCACCGCCATGTTGTCGCCCATCGCTAGAGCATTGAGGCAAGGCGCGACGTCCACACCTTCGAGCTCGGGGCGCCAGGCTCGAAAGGCCTTGAAGCGGGATGATGGCAGACGAACGCGAAGGGCGTTACGCCTGGCGCGCGCGGGAGGAACGCGGAAAGTGTAGTGAAACTCCCGTAGGTCGTCGCAAGAAACTGCCAGCCACTCCCCAGGCGCCAGACCCAAACGGCACAGCAGGAAACCCTGGCCAAGGCGCTGGGTGCTGGACGAGATTGAGGCACAGCGGCTGTTCACGACCGTTGGGTTCAGGATCAGCCTGTCGAAGTCGCTGTCCTTCGGTACCCTGAAAGCTCCGCAGGCTTCATCCCAGGCGAGGTCCGAAGCAGGAGTCAGGTACAGGGCGCCGCAGGCATCCCACTTCTGGAGCAGGGCCCACAGCTCGGCGCGGTCCATATGGACACGCGCCCCCTTTTGGCCAGCAGGCCACTCTGACGCCGGGAGCCGCATCTCCTCTGGATTGATGAACGCTTCGCGGACTCGAGCGTCAGAGAGAAATGGAATGGGATCAAACACTGGCGAGTAATCCCACTTAATGCGAGACGCCCTGACTTTTAAATCGAAGGGCTCGACCTGGGTGGAGTCCCAAGCCGCCGCAGACGCCAGCGAACCAGGCACGGAAGGAGCGCTGGTCGGGCAGTGCCGCATGGGGGCGGGCACGGAAGAAGAGGAGGTGAAGGAGGCCTCCAAAGCTGCAACATGGGTGGCCAGGCCATGGAGCGAGACCTCAGTAGAGTCGAACTTGGCGAAGGCTCGACCTAAGTCGCTCTTGCCACCACGGGCAAGGCGAACTGCGATCCGACACAACCGTTCGATACGGGTGCGGACGCCCTCCTGGCAGGGCGAGACCGTGGCGCGGACGCGAGCCTCGGCGGGAGCGAGGCTAGGATGACCCAAAGTGAGCCAGTTCAACGCAATAACAGAATACTGCGCGAGCGTCCGCGCCGCGCGCCGCAATCTCCAGCGCTCCCTGCGCCTCGCCGACAAGCCGTCAGGCGGGGGACCAAGAGGTGGAGCAGGCGGGCACGGCCAAGGATCGCGGGGAGGCGGCCCCAAAAGGTACGGGTCGTCCCTGTCCATTGCACGCATTGATGAGCGGGAGAAAGATCCAAGAGAACATCGAGCACCCATCCCAACCTGGGACAGCGCTGCCGCCCAGTGGGTGATATCAATGTTCGCGCCTGGAAACAGGCGCAGCAAGGCAGACAAGTCAGCGACAAATGGCGCGACGTTGGCAAGAGCAGCAGGGGTGCTTGAAGGAGAACAAGCACCAGCAAGAACACCAACCTCAGGGGCTGCAGGCCCCATGGGGGGAGCGCTCGACTGAGGCAGGTGACGGCCAAAATGGCCGAATGGATCCGAGGGGCGGTTCGGAGCAGAGCGAGGGGCGTGGTGGCGGAACGTACTCCTCCCTGCGGGGCCGCAACAGCATCGCTGGAGGAGCGCATTCCTACCCTCACGCCCTCGCTGCGCCCAAACACGCCTAGCAGCCGTAGCAGCGTCGGTGCAGACTGTCTGCGGCGGCGTACCCCGGCCACGCGAAGGCCCCCCCTCCAAGAAGGCGGGCGCCAAGGGCATCTTCAGTCCTTCTTGGGCACCGCCTTCGGGGCCTTGGGAGCACCCTGAGACTTGAAGGGGGGCTTTGAGACCTTGGGCTGCTTGGGCTGATGAGGTGGATGCTTGGGGAGCGCGACGGCGCGCTCGGCGTCGAGGCGCGCCCGAAATGCTTGCAGCTCCTTCATGTATTCGCCCTGCGCCGACAGCCAGCGAGGATCCACTAGGGGTGAAAACGGGGTCTGGGCCTCGCGCTCCGTGTGACGACTGGTCACGCGACACGGGGGAGGCTCCAGCCCCGTGAGGAACCAAGCGGCCTCGAGGTAGCCGCGGTCCCCCGCCAACTGGTCGATGAACATGCACTGGCAAGTCAGCAAGGTCTGGACCCTCTCGGGGTTGCCCTCCTCGCAGGCCCGCCACAGCTCGGCGCTGAGGAAGGCAAAATGCGTCAACAACTCGTGCGTCGACGGCTGAGCCCCGAGGGGGCTGTGCTCGCGAAAGTACTGATGCATGGCCATGGGGGTCACGGCGCTGACTTCCACGCCCAGAACGCGGGCCAAATTCTCCTTCATCAGTCCTCGCACGTCGGGGCCGTGCTGCATCAGCGCTTGCTGCCACTCGCGCCTCCGAGCGATTCCCCCCATCTGAGCCGATGCGTGCGCGGGGTCGCCCGAGGTCGCGGGCGGAGTTTGAGCTTGGTCGCTCAGGGTCCCCAGAAGCGGGTGGAAGGCTGGGCGATGGCCCCGCCCCTGCTGCAAGGAAAGGGACTGGTGCAGGCACTGAAGCATGAGGCTGAAGTCCGTCGGATTGGCCGCAAGGGGCGGCTCTAACCCGTCGGCGCCGCCCGCCTCGGCAAAGCCGTCGACCGCAGCGGGATGGGCTAGCCCAGGCGGCGGCGGGGGGCCCATCGGTCCGGAAGCGGACGAAGGGGCCCGAGGGACAGCAAGAGAGCGCGCCTTCTCCCACGCCGAGACCAGCGCGGAGGTGGGTCCCTTGGGGCGCGCGGAGACCCGATGTGGGGCCACGGGCGCGTGGGACAAGACGGCCTCGATCCCCGCAGGATCCAGCCCGAGGCGCGCCGCCTCGTCGCTGAAAAGCTGAGGCACCTCGGGCCGAGCGCTCCGGGCAGCCGGAGCGGGGCCCAGCGGTTCGGGTCCGCCGACCATCGTGGAGGCCGCGTGGGCTGCAAGCAAGGCGCGCATTTCGGCAGCTACCTCGGCGCGGGTCATGGGAGCCCCGTCGTCCAGAGACGCCGCAGGAGCACCAGGAGCAATCGGAGCAGGACCCGCGACCCGTGGCGGCGCGGCGGCGCCAGCGCGCTTGGCGGGCGGGCCGCGCGGCGCTCCAGCGACCGCGGGGGCTCGCGCACTTGGGGCCGCGCGGTCGGCTTCCCCGTCGGCCGCGAACCCCTCGGGCTCCTCCATCTCGTCGGCAGAGTGGTAGGGGGTAGCCCGATCGGCCCCTGGGAGAGGCTCTTCCCCTGCGGTAGGCGGGGCGCCGTGCAAACGAGCGTAGCCCTCGCGAAGCACCCGAACCCCCGAAGGATGCGGCCAATAGACGCGGCTGCGCACCTCGGCGAAGGGAACGATGCCTGCGTCGTCGCCGACCTCTAGAGGGTACAGCGACTCGAGCTCGAGCTCGGCAACCTCGATATCTATAACGAGGACGGATGCGGTAGTGGCGAGCGGCCGTGAAGCGGCCCCCTGGAGCTGGACGTCCACTAGCTGGAAGGGGCCTATCATCCCAGCAAAGCCATCCGCCTCGGCAGCCTCGAGCTCCGCTGTAGAGCGAAAGGCACCAGGCAGGGCCAGCAGGATGCCCCCTTCTCGAGAGGCGAGGGGGATAGCCGCCCAGCTGGTGTCGCCGTCGTCTAGGCGCCATCGTGCGTAGTCGCGCGCCGTGGGCGCAGCGAAAGGGTAGAGCTCGGGCCAAAGGGGCCCTCCGCCAACTGGTGGCAGCTCCGCCATCAGTGGGCGCCGCCGTGGACGCCGCCGCCCGCACGCTGGGCGTCTGCCCGCTCGAGCGCTTGAGGTCGAGGCGGAGCCCCGTAGGCCAGCGCTCGCGCCGCACGGCGGTCCTGCTCAGGTGAAGCAGAAACCGCGCCGCGCGGCCAGGCGGAGGGCCAGAGCCTCCGCCACACGTACGGGCCCAGCAGCCCGAGGCAGCAGCCCGCGCAGGCGCTGCAGGCGGCCGTCACCCAGAGGAGGGCGGCGACCGTGCTGAGCAGCCAGGGAGAGACCCCGCCGCTCAGGTCCACCGCCAGCCCGAGGCAGACGGTGGGGCAGGTGGAACCCGCCGAAGGGAGAGGGCAGGAGGCCCCCTCACCCTCGGACGAGTCCGCCTGCTGGATGGACCAGGCAGGCGATGGAGGCCCCTGGTCCTGAAGCACAGAGAGGGGGGCAGCCACGAGCCGCTCGTAGAGCGCGGCCCGCAGCCCCCTGAACAAAATCTCCCCAGCGCCCTGGAGAGCCGCTTGTGCGACCGCCTGCATAAGGCGCCCGCACGCGCGGCCGACGGGGGGCACTTGGGCAGAGAAGCTGCGGAGACAGCAGGAGCTTGCTCACAGAGAATAGAAGAGGCATGATGTCGACGAGGAAAACGAGTGGGACTGCAGGAGGAGCAGGCGGAGGAGTTCGCACCCCCCCTCACCAAGAAGACGACAGCGAGTCCAGGAGGCGGCTGCGCAAGGCGCACCCCTCCCCTTCTCCCTGGGCGGGCAGGCGCGCCGACGTCAGCCGGCGGACCTGCTCCACGGTGTCCTTGCTCTCCGTGCCGATCTCCTCGCACCCGACTCCTCCCTCTCCCCTGCCTCCTCCCTCACCCCTGCTCTTCATCCAACCCTCTCCTCCCTCCCCCATCCTCCTTATTCCTCCTCCCTCTTCGTCCTCCACCTTCGTCCGTCTCCTCCTGTTACCCATCTTGGCTCAACCCCGCATCGCTCGGCCACGGCCGCGCCGCGTTCTCTGCGCAGCAATGCCCGGCACGCTCTCGCAGCCTGCTGGCCGCCGCGACGCCGAGGAAACCGCTTGCGGTGCGCTGCTGGCGGCGCACGCGGAGGCGGGACTCGCTGCTGCGAGACGCCGACGGCCTGCTGCACGCAGCCGTGGCGAGCCTCTGAGGTTCCGCCACTCCACAGCCTGCGCCCGACGCTGTGCCTCACCCGAGGCGGCGGTGGTGGCGAGGGCGAGGTGGCTGCGGGGCTGCCGCTGCGGACCGCGACTCGCCTTGCGCGGCGGCCGCGGAGGCGAGCGCCCACCCCTGAGGAAGCGGGGCCGCGCCCATAGCGGTGGAAGCGGCAGAAGGTTGCCAGTGGCCGCAGCACGACAGGTAGATGCTGATGGCCTTCGTCTCACGCTTCTGGACGCTGGCCATGAGGAGCTAGACGACGCAGGGGCTGATAACTTCCCTCCCGCCATGGCCGTGGCGAAGAGGGCGTGCGGCCCACTCAGCGGTCCGGCGTCTGCGGCTGCGCCTGCCGGGACGCCCGCGAACGTGTTGGGCTCGCAACGGAAGGAGGTGGACCGCGCCCTCGCGCCGGCTGCGCGCGCGCTCGGCCTCCCTGAGGTCTGTGGCCTGGACGGGGTGGCAGCTGCACCAGCGGTGGTGCTCGACTAGCAGCTCCAGCGGCTGCCGCTGGCCGGGGTGTGTGGCAGCGGGGGGTCGGTAGGGGCCTGAGCCGTCTCGCGGCCAAGGCGCCCTCCCGCCTCCCTCCCGCAAGCGATGCTCGTCTCCAGCATCCGCCATGACGACCGTTGTGTCTCCCTCGTTCCTCCTCGCGGGGTTCGGCGGCGACGTTCGATCTGCGCGTCCTCCTCCTCTCCCTCCTCCCGTTCTTTCTCATCCCTCCTCCTCGTCCTCACTCTTCGTCGCTCTTCCTCCCTCTTCCCCCCTTCCGCTTCCTCCTTTCTCTTCCTCGTCTCTCATCCGCTCGTGCTCTTCCGCTCCCTCATCCGCTCCTCGTCCGTAGCGTCCCTTCTGGGTGCCACCCGCCACCCACTTGTGCTGGCCCGGAGGCCCTCCGTGGTGGTCGTGTTGTGAGGATGTGAAAGAAATGAACCTGAACGCCGCACGCTGACCTCAATACTGCCAAAGACTGCCTCCAGCCCACGACCTCCCAACCCTCCTCCTGATCCCCATCCCGCCCTCTCCTCAGAAACGAAGCCGCGAAGCGGCCCACGAAGGCCCAGACCACTCAAAGACGAGCACACTGCCCCCCTCAAGAAGAGGATGTGGCGTAAGACCAGAAAGTCCGTCACCAAACTGCGACGCAAGAGCAGGCCACGAGGGCCGATTTTCGGGCGTAGCCTCCCAAAAAGAAGTACGTGTGCTAGCCCGAAACCTGAGGTCGTTGCCCCCTTGCCACTCCCAGGGGAGCATGCCGTACCTGCCGACCACTTGCCGACGGTTTGAAAAGCAAGCCCTCCTCGTGCGCAGAAAGCTCGCCCCGGGATGGCCGCAAGTCCGTCTACTTCGGTCGGCCCCACGGTGGCACAGGACAGCTCGAGGAGGGCCCCCAAAGAGTCCGAGAGGTTCCACGGGGGGTCTCGAAAACCCCTGCAGGCAGGTCACGTCGCCCCTTCAGGGCTCGACGAAAAACGCATAAGTGGCAAAGCGTGATGAAACACCTCTTTATAACAGATCTATCATCTGTAGGGTGCTCGCCTTTCCGTTCTGCCTGGCGGCGGCACTGGCCCAAGAGGCCCCCGCGATTGGGCCCCATGATCGCCCTAAGACGGCCCTACAGGGCCGCAATGGCACCTCAGACGGCCCAAAAAGGGCCCAAGGCGTCCCAAGAGGGCTGCCAGGCACGGCCTTCACACAGCTCAATTGTGCCCCGTAGGACCGCTCAGTTGTGCCCCGAAGCAGGGGCGTATTGCTGGAGGCAGTTTCGCACGCGATCCTGCGCATTGTTTTCCACGTCATAACCAAGATACGTATCAATGTTGCATGCCTCCTTCATTGCTGGATAGTCTCCCCTAGAGGCGCAACGCCCCGTCTTTTGGCCAAAAATAAATCCCGATGCGTGCCTAAAACAAGTGATGTGTTCCTTCAAGTGTTTGGCAATTTGCGTGTTCCCTCCTTTTCCGCCAGTAGAGGGGCGCCACTGATCGCCACAACCCAACAAAAAAACCCAAACGGGTTCCAAAACGGCCAAGAGGGTCCCTAGCTGGCCTTTTTTTCCCCCTGGGCAATTGCCGTTAACCGGGGGGGGGGGGGGGGAGGGGGGTCGGGCGGGAGGGTAGCGGGAACGGCGGCCGCGGCGTGCGCCCGCCAGGGTGCGTCCGCGCCATCGGCGCATCAATCGACTGTGCACACGGCGATGCCCAATGCCTCCGTACAACAAAGCGCCTCCGGTGCACACATCACAATGCCTCCGTACACCACAACAGCCGCGCGCACTGCAGCACCACGTCGCCCATGCACACCGCAGTGCCTGTGTATACTGCAACAACAATTGTTTATAATAGGATAATGCAGACAACCATTGCCCATAATAGGATTATTGGAGAAACCCGTATGAAAAATGGGGCGCCTCTGGATTCCACAGAACCCCATTCTTATAGAATCTCGAAAAGAACCGCTATGGGAAGCGGAGCGCATCTGGAACCCGCAAAAACACCGTTGCTTGATAAAGGAGAGAGCGTGATCCACCGCCGCTTTACTGTGGAAAATTGCCAACCTTTTCCTCCGGAGCCCGGGGGTCGCCCCCCCCCCCCCCTCCGAAAATCCCCCCCCCCCCCCTGCTGGAACCCCTCCCCCCCCCCCCTTCCCCCGGCAAACCCCCCCCCCTCCCCCAACCCTTCCCCCCCCCCCCCCCCTCCCCCTCGAAAACCGGGGGGGGTCACTACCGGTTCGAACCCCCCCCCCCCCCCCCCTCCGGATCCGGAAAACCGGGGGGGGTCACTACCGGTTCGAACCCCCCCCCCCCCTCGAAAACCGGAGGGGGATCACTACCGGTTCGAACCCCTCCCCACCCCCCCACTCACCGCCAGCAAACGACTCCCGGTCCCTACCACCGTCCGCATCACATCCTCCACTGTTGTTCCCAGCACCACTGTCCTCACCACCACTGTCCCCACTGTGTCCCCACCAGTGCCCCCACCACTGTCGCACTGTCCCCACTGTCCCCACCACTGTTCCCACCACGGTTCCACTCTCCCCACTGTCTCCACGGCCCCAACCACTGCCCGACTATCCCCACTGTCCCCACTGTCCCACTGACTCCGCCGCTGTCCCACTGAGCTGTCCCACTGTTCCCACCACTGTCCCCACTGTCCCCACCACTGTCCCCACTGTGCCTCTGTCCCATTGTCCCACCGCCGTCCTCGCCACCGCCTTCACCACTGTCCCCACCACCATTGTACCCTCCACTGTCCCATTGTTTCCACCTCATTCCCACTGTGCCCACACCACTGTCACCACCACCACCGTCCCCACCACTGTCCACTGTCCCCCCTGTTCCCACCATTGTCCTCACCACTGTCCCCACCACTACCGGCCCTCTACTGTCCCACTGTCCCACTGTCCCCACCACTGTCCCGCTGTCCCCTCACCACTGTCCCACCAACACCGTCCCCACCTCTGTCCGCACCCCCACTGGGTTTTCGAGAGGGGGGGGGGGGGAGGGGTTCGAACTGGTAGTGACCCCCCCCCCTTTTCATGATGAGCTGGGGGGGGGGGGGGGAGGGGTTCGAACCGGTAGTGACCCCCCCCGGTTTTCCGGAGGGGGGGGGGGGGGGGGGGGGTCGAACCGGTAGTGACCCCCCCCGGTTTTCCGCCAGCAGCGGTAGAACACGCTCTTTCTGATAAAGGGGTCCCCATGGAACTTGAGGCGCCTCTGGATTCCACAGAAAACGAACGTTTTATATACACGTATTGAACGAGTACCTATGGAAACTGGAGCGCCTGAGGATTCTGCACGCGTGCGCCACAACGCCTGCGTACACCACAACAGCCGCGTGCAACACAACACTGGTGTACACCACAATACCTGCGTGCACCACATCGCTTCCGTACACAACAGCGATTGTGTAGACCGCAGCAGCCGTGTGCAACGCAGCGCTGGTGTGCACCACGCTGCCTGCGTGAACCACAGCGCCTGCGCACACCGCAACGCCCGCGGGAGAAGGCGCGGGGCCACCCATGACGCTGGGTCTACAATCGACGCGTGCATTAAGGACGGGTGTTAAGGACGCAAGTCCCTTGGAAGCAAAAGCTGGCCAATGAAAGCGGCAAAGTAGAGGCCGCAGAGGCAAAGACACAATGGTACCTTGGAGAAGGCGCGCGTCCTCAGTAGGCGCGTTGACTGCATCGCAGTGCAACCGAATACTGGCCAAAAGGAAGAGCCACAGCATTTTGCACTTGCGGAAGAGTGGTCGAACCAGCCTGCGGTAACTGAGCCATCGCCAGCTGCATTGGACGACGATGACGAAGACGACGACGACGACGTCGGCGGCGACGACGACGACGACGACGGACGACGACGACGACGGACGACAACGTCGACGACGAGGACGATGACGAATGCGAGCGCCAGAACACGTTTGTGAGCACCAGTGCGTGCCGTTCAGACTACGCCATGCCTGTGAGCACATGTAGGGGGGGGGGTCAGGCCATCCCTCCCCCACGGCACGATCGTTAGCGTTACCCGGGGGCGGGGGGAGGTTGGCCCGGGTAACGAGCGTTACGCCGGAGAGGAAAACGCATGCTCACGAGGCAGCCAAAGAGACCCCCAGAAAGACCCAAGAGCCCCCTAAACGGGCCCCAAGAGGCGCCGAAGTGGCCTTCGAGATTGCACTGAGAACCTGCAAGAGTGCCCAAGAGGCCCCGAGACAACCCGGGATTGGCCTCAAGATGGCCAAACAGGCTCTAAAGACGCACGAAGAGAGGGTCACGAGAGGCCTCCCCGGAAGACCTCGAGACTTCCGGAGCGGACGCCGTTGACTTGTGCGACTGGTTTTCGCACGTTTGCCTTGTCGGCCGCCCCAAAGGCTACGACACCTCCAAAGACACCCCAAGGGGCGCACACAATACGCTTTCCAGACGTACACTTAGGCGAAATGATAAATGATAGAAATCAGCAAGTGAGAGACACAGAAAGTGCAGAAAGTGACAGAGCGAGAGAGAGAGAGAGAGGGGGGGGGGGGAGAAAACACAGAAAACGCCTGACTGCAGTGGCATCTTGAGCGTGTGTGAGAGAGCATGGCAGCCTGCAAGAAAGGGGCAGGCACACTGTGTAGACGAGTTAGACCTGTCGAAAACACGATAAGTGATCGTGATATCGAGAGGAAAGGAAAGAGATCTGTGGGCACAAAGATGGACACGCAAATGAAAATGATGGGCGTTACAAATTCGCCCACATCTGCACAGTGAACCTGGCGCCAGAGCAGCATGAACAAGACAAGAACCTCTGGCAGAACAGACGACTCCTCGACCATGCTGCTGAGCCTGCTCAGTCGCATGATCGACGGTGCGAGGAGGTCAACCACCTGGCTCCGCAACCATCACTTTCCAAGAAGTGGTCCTGCCATATCATCCAGCTTCCCCGCATGCTCACTCCTGGCTGCTCCCCGGCCGAGTACGGCGGCTCCTTCTTCCGCAGGGCGGCTCCACACCAAGTTGCGAATTTCAACGCGCACAGACGCGAACATAACCCTATGCGTTTACTCGCGCATAGATGCGCTCACCAGTTTGAGCAGCGTGAACCCTGAAGTATCTGCGCCTTCCCAGTCCATCGTGGACGCGTGCAAACTTACCTGAGCAATGGGTGCAATTACCGTCGCGAATTCGACTAGGGAATCACACACACGCCAGCGTAAACATAGACATGTGCTACCACACGTCCTCCCCCTCACACATTCTCCCCCCTCTTCCTGCTGCTGCCCCTCCATCTCTTAGGCCTCCTTCTGCTCGTCTTCCTCATCCAACTCCTTCTACTGATTGTTTAGCTCCTTCTCGTTTTTCGTGGCCCTCGCCAGCGCGAATTTGCTGCGATCCCCTCATATGCTGCGCCGGCCTAGGGCTGGAGCATCAGGACGGCACTCCCTTCTGGGAAAGGTAGTTGCTCCGCCAAGCCGGCCACGCCCGACGACGTAGAGATGGCAGTCCGAGCCGAACCGCGCGAGAAACGTGACCATGAAGACTGTCTCGCGCTCGTTGCTAAAGATTGGGAGTTGATGTCTGGATACGTCTGGGAAATGAAGTTGTGCATGAAGTTATCCTGCGTGGAGCATCCCAGCTGAAGCATTGCGACTTCTGTTTGCACCGATGTTCGTCGACCCTTGACGGCCACAACTGACCACGGGCATTGACTTTGAAGAACCTGAATTCCAGCCACCCAAAGTCGTTCAAATATAAGTAAAAGCCATTCTGTCCGTGGCGCGACGACATGACCACGCCCCACATATCAGGTATGCTGCTCAGGCAGCGAGCTTGTCAAAGGGCAACCAGGAACTCGACGCCGACGGGGAGAGGATTATAGTAATAAGTTGCACGGTGGGTTGCAGATTTCACGCTGCAGCTACTTGCAATCTAGCGGCCTGCACGCCAGATAGCTGGGCTCATGGAGGATTACGACGACGACGTGAATCTAAAATGGAAACACCCTGAATTTCCTGATGCCGACGCAAAGCCGCAGGCATCTCACACGTACTTCGATGCCACGACCCTACCATCGCGCTGTCCAGTCTGAAACACTCTGCCGTGCTAGAGGTTTTCCCTGGCATCTACGCGAACGCTGACCTACACTTCGCTGAAAACCACGTCCGCTGACCCCTTGAAGGTCTCTAGGCGTTTGACATTGCCCCCCCCATAATACCCCAACCACGGGACCCCAAATCGGCAATTTGACCTGCCCCGGGCCGCGGAAGGTCCCAGGCAATGAGCGACCGGGGTGGGGGGGAGGGACAAAACGGTCCAAGGAGGCACCAAAACGCCCCCAGACGGTCCAAGAGGGTCACGAGTGGCCGCAACACCGATCCAAAACGCCGACGATGGTCTCCAGACGGCCTCCGAAGCTCCGAAGACACCCAAGAGGCCCCGAACATGCGTCCCAAGAGGGTCCCCCGACGCAAAAATGGCACCATACCATACCCTCCGTAAAACATACATGCTTAACAACATTGCCTTTTCGGCTGCACGACGTTCCAAGGCGACTCAAGAGCCCCCCAAAACCGCCCCAGGACGGCCCAGGAGGCCTCCAAAAACGCTCCAACATGGCCCAAGACCCTCCAACACGGCCCAAGAGGCGCCCGAGACGGCCCAAGAGAGTCCCAAGACGGCCCCCGAGAGAACCTAAAGGGGAACCACGAACAGAAAGCTCCAGTGTTCTGCCGCACGAGGTCGCCAGGAAACCACAAGAAACCCCCAAAAGGCCCCAAGGGGTCCCCAGGAGGCCCCCCAAGAGGCCCCAGGAGGTCCGCCCCCCTCCTCCTCGTCCTCCTCCCCGCTCTCCCCATCGCTATCATCATCCGAATATGTGTCCCTCCCGCTTTCGGCAAATGTGCCTCAAGTGGTACCACTTGAGGCGTGTCAATCTAGCCCGCAATCCGGGCACAAAGGTCCACGCCACGCGGAGCACCAACCCCACACGAAACACCCCACGATAGACTAACGGTAACACAACACAAGACACACCAGCCAACACTACACGAAGCGCCCCACGAAACACCCCACGATGCACTACACGGGATACCCAACGAAGCACCCCACGCAACCCCCCACGAAACACCCCGCGAAACCAACCACGGAACACCCCTATACTACACCGCGGGCGCCTCTTTGGGTTGCTACTCTTTGAGCGCCTCGCTTGGGCCGCTGAACAAGGAAAAACATTCGCGCGACTTGCATTCGAGGATGCCCTTCTTTGCGTCGCGCGCGACGTGGCCACCGTCCACAGCGAAGGCCGACGTCGGCAGCTTCTTTTGGCATTTGCCACTGCGCTGGTAGGCTTGCCAACTGCGCGCCGTGAGCCCGTCGGTGACGCAATCTGCGAACGCTACCTTACTATTCCTTGCGAGGTGCCCACTCAGTTGATCGTCGCTGATGTGCCCCTGCTGGGCGAACTCTTTTCTGCCGCGCCTGCTGCGGCCCACGCGCGCCACTCTCGCTCCTTTTTTCGCCCGATATTTTTTTCTGGTTGCGAGCCGCGTGATTTTCATTCCAGAGAATCACCCCGCGATGTGGAGCGCAGCGCGTCAATGACGTCGCTTCCGCTTCTGCCTTCCTCTCGCGGTGGGCGGTATCTGCATTTGCCCCTCGCGTCGCCCTTTCTTTTGCTTCGGCGCATGTCCGACGCAGTCTTTCTCCAGCCGCGGCGCGTCTCTCCAATTCGCGTTGCTACTGCGCGACTTGTTCTCCGACTTGCACTTCGCGCAGTACTGAGTCCCAATCAGTTTCGCCTCCTCCCCGTCGCCATATCCCGCAACGCCCCGATCGCCGCCATGCCGCGTCGGAACGTCGCTCTCCGCTTTGGCTGCCCATCCTCCACGCATTTTGCGCCATTTCTCGTCCGCACTTTTCACCGCCGCCGCGCATTCTTTACAAAACGCTAGCCGTTCTTTCCCCTGGAACTCGTACTTCGTGCGCGCTTCAACCAGCAACCTCCGCCGGCGCCGCCCGCGCTGACCTCGTGGCATTAGTTCCGCCTCCCACTCATCCCAATCAACTCTCTCACTTCGGAGCACTTGCAACGGCTTCTTAGCGCCAACCATCTCACCTTCGTTGCGTGGCTCCCTATCAAAGGCAGGAAAATCGAAAGGTTCTCTCGCCTGCGCGCGCGCGCTGGCAACGCAACCTGACATCCCTGCGCTGAGTGCGCCGTCGCTGCCAATGACGGGGTGATAATAAACTTGGTGCGTTTCACACTCAATACAGGATGCTTCCGACACCCATACAAGAACCAGTGCCGCCCTTTCTATGGGAAGATCGGGTATACGCCTGGCTCCCAGCCTGGCAGGCGCAACTCCTTCGCATGAAAGTCCAACACAAACGCTCTCGGTACATGCAATGAGACCTCCTCGTGGAACACCCATCCATGGATCGTCGCTGTGCGCTCCCGCAGGAGCTGCTTCTTCGACCGATCCAGGTGATCTCCCAAAGCTACGGGCACCCCTGCGTCGTGAGTTGTTCACGATCCTCAGGGATCTCCCAAGCGACCCCTCTCGGAGGCCGCCCGCGCCCCGCGCCTGGGCCCCGCCGCGGCGGCGGCGGCGAGCGGGGGAGAAACGCGCGGCCGCTGAGGGCCAAGGGGCGGGCCGCGCTTAAGGCGGCGCAGGCGAGTCGGCCGCCCGCGCCGCAACGCCGGCCCCCGCCAGCCGCGCTGCCGCGCGGTCCGGCACGCGGAACGCAGACGCAGACGCCCACCATCAACTCCGCCGACCTCTTATGGGTGTCTGGGCGTGTGAGATGCCTTCCCCCCAGAATCCCCCCCTTCGGACTACAACTGGGAGTTTGACCTCCCCCCCTGGCCCGGCACGACCCCGCACCGAACGCGTCCTGGGGAAGCAGAAGCCCCAAAATGGGCCAGGAGGTCACCAAGACGCCCCCGAGACGGTCCAAGAGGGCCTCGAGACGCCGAAACATCGTTCAGAGACGCCCACGATAGCCTCCAGACGGCTTCCGAAGCCCCCATGATGACGGCCCAAGAGGCCCCCAAGATGCGTCCTAAGAGGGTCCCAAGAAAAAACAAATCGGCCCATTCCGTTGTTAAACGTATATGTTTACCAGATCCGCCTTGTGGGCTTTCACGACGTCCAAGACGGGCCAAGGAACCTTCAATATCGCCCAAAGACGGCAAAAAAACCCAAGACAATCCAAAAGGGCCCCCAGTCGGCTCCATGAGAGACCCCACAAGGCAATGTTTCGAGCCTTCGGCCCCAAGACATCCCCAGCCTACCCCAAGAACCCCTCAAGATGCCCCAAGGATCTCCCAGGACCCCCCCAACAAGCCGAGATACCCCACAAGAAACCCAAATACCACCTCCAAGACGCCCACGTGAAGCCTCCCACGACATCGCATCAGCCATCCCAAGGCCCGCAAGCCCGCAATCCAGACACGCTGGCGGGATACACCGCAGGCCATTCGAGAACCACTCCTCCGGGTTTGGGACCGATACCTGCCGTTTGTGAACGATGGTCCACAGGACCACGCCCCCGAAAAAATCCAGGGGTCGGCGGATGTGGCGTAAGCCTATAGAGTCACCCAGAACGCTCCCCCCCAGGGACTACGCCACATCCGTCGACCCAGAGTGGCCACCCCCATTTGGGGTTCAAAAACGTACCAAAACCGATGTCAAATCGATGATTCGGGACTTTGGGCCCACTGGGAGGCCCAATAGGGCCTCAAGACGGCCCCATATGGCTTCCAGACGGGCGAGGACGGCTCCAAGACGGTCCACGATGGCCCCAAAAGGGCCCAAGAAACTCCGAAGACGCCTCAAGAGGGCCCCAAGACGACCCCCAAGAGTGCCTCCAGAAGCCAAAACCATTA